AGACGAAAAACAAAACAAGAAAAACAATGAAATAAAAGAGATGGGCTGCCAATCGTCATCAGTACAAGTATAAATATATAGTAGAATAGCGTCCTACTCTAAATTAAAACAGAAGAGTTTTAATGAGAATCCTTGCACGCAATTAAATGGGAACATCCCTGCCAAAATTTCTGGGACCAAACTATCTTAATCTTTGGTGATTTTTCTTAATTTTTCCCATGTAAGGCTCTCAGATCCATACTCTAACTAAGGATAATTGTGGGAAAAAAAAGGTTTTTTTTTCCTAAACAATTCTCCACCAGAGTTTGAAAAAGTGCCACCATCTCTGTCCACCTTCCTCTTCTGAAAATTAAATTTCTCCGCTCCCTCAAGCTCTTTTTAAAGGATGTGAATCCCCCATTTGGAATTAGGGATCTAACTTGGGGCAACGACCTCAAACGGCCGTGGAGATCTTCTCTAAATGTCATCCCTCGCAATCTTTCCCCCGTTGCCGCTCAAGACTCCCAAACTATGCCCATCCTCTTCCATCCATTTTTTTTTTGTTGCTCACCCAAAAACCACAACACGCAACCCACCACACCCGTTTCCACTTCACCTTTCGCTTCTTGCCGCATCGACAACCCATCGCTCTCCTGACAGATCGGATCCTCGGTGTCTCGGCAAAATTCCCCCTTCGGATGATAACGATAAACACGGGACGTCAGTCGGTTTTCTGTGGAGCTTCAGAAGTCGCTCCCGGCGTCAAGGGGTCTTCAGAAAGTGGGGTCTCCTATCACAGGGCAGCGGAAAAGCAGAAAGGATCTTTGTGAGAAATGCTTCTTTTTGGAATCTGCATTCGAAACTGAACAAGTCCCACACCGTTGGATCTGTTCTGGGCTGCCGCAGGCAAGTTTGGAAAAGTAAATTTGCCCGAACTTGTCCAACTGAGAAGATTCAGAGAGAAGAGAAGGAAGGTTGCCAAGAAGATGGGGAAGGGAAGGGAAGACCCTCAAATTCTTCTCTCGGTTTTGGGGAAAGGATCTTAAGACAGAAGGCCCACGTACCTGCTCACTGGAGATTGGACGTGCTGCTGTCGGTTGTCACCTTGTCACGGTTTTATACCTCGGGAAGGTGTGTCCAAGAGACACCTCATGGAGGGAGCTGAGAGTTGCAGTTGTGGTGCAATCTTCTCCTTGTGCTGACTGGCCCCTGGCCAGAAGACAACGCTCAGACGCCACCCATTTCTCTGTCCTTACTCACAGCTCAAGGATGAGCTTGCTTGGAAGGGAGCTTCCTCCCTTCCCCCATGGTCCAAGTTCACCGAACCTTTTGGTTGACTCCTAACATCTTGAGATGCTGAGGAGAAGGACTCACCTCCTGCTGGTGTGGGGTAACTGCAAGCATATTAGGTCCATGGAAAGTCCCGGGAGAAGATTTGGGGACGCTGTGGTTTTGGACTACTTCCATCTCATCCTTCTGGGGACCTTCTAAGAGAACTTTGCAGCTCCTGGAGAGCTTGAGGTTGGACAAGACCCCGCTAGAATGTCTCTAGCATTGAGGGTGGCAAAGGAGCATGGATGAATGAGGAAGTCGGACCTGTTCCCAGAGGAAGAAGTCTCTGTCCGACCAATAGCCCTTTTTGGAAGTTCTCAAGAAGGTCCTCCTTACAGAAGGACATGAACTGAGAGCAGAATTTGGAGAGCCCAGTGTTGCGAGCTCTAAAGACCTAAATAATATTTGTTTATCGGCTCTCTGACGTCCAGGAGTCTTTATCAAAGTCTGACCTGGACTTTGGAACTTTATTGTGAAGCAACTGGACAAAGCCTCATCTTCTCTGGATAAATAGACCCTCTCTAATGTCCACCTCCCAGGATCTCTAATGTCCACCTTCCAAGATCTCTAATGTCCACCTCCCAGGATCTCCAATGTCCAACTTCTCTCTGAGTTGTTTGGGGGGAGGGGTGTCTGCTAAATCTCTCCCAGCTTTAGCTTTGGAATTGGACGGTTCATCCCAAGAGCTGAGCAGGACCCCGGTATGAGGGGAGTGCAGCTTGTGTGGATTCTCACAACCGCAAGCAGTCCACAACAGTCCATTTAGTGACCGTTCAAAATCACAACAGCGCTGAAAAAGGTGACCTGTGACTTTTTTCCACACTTGACGACCCTTTCAGCCTGCCGGGGGTCCCGTAATGAAAATTCAGACGCCGGTCAACTGACTTGTGTTGATGACAGTTGCCGTGTCCCAGGTTCACATGATCTCTCCCTCTTTTGGGATGGTGGGGAAGCCAGATCCATTTAACCAGCGCATGACTAATTTAACAACCGCGGGGATTCACAATGACAAGAGAAGTCGTAAAATGGGGTCAAACTCATTTAGCGACCGAAATGTGGGGCTCAACTGTGGTCATACATCAAGGACAGTCTATGTTGTATGGAGTCTGGGTTGGAAAATTTGGCAAACCCGCCACTTCCAGGTGCCCGGATCCATGAGGAACTTAAGCATGTAAAAATATTGCCCCTGTTGTGACGTTTTTACATGTGAAGCACAAAGAAAGGGTAGGTCTTTTTTTTTCTAGAGGGGTGGCCCTCTCATGGGGATGTGACAGTGGCAGATTCCTGCAATTGGCAGGGGTTGGACTAGTTGATCTCCAGGGTGCCTCCCAACCCTGTTAAATCTCAGTTCTATCAGCCATAAAACCTGAATACAGAATAAGAGAGTTGGGAGGGACCTCAGTGGTCTTCTAGTCCAACCCCTTGCTCAGAATACAGAATAACAGAGATGGAAGGGACCTTGGAGGTCTTCTAGTCCAACCCCCTGCTCAGGCAGGAAACCCTAGACCATTTCAGAGTCTCTCTGATAGATCATAGTCAAGAGACCGACAAGGAGCCCATGCTCCTTGAAAATCAAACTTCACACTTGGCTTGTGAGTCCTTTTCCATGCGGCTTTGTGCCACCTGCGAGCTCAGCTCCCAAAGTATTAAACCATGGCTTGTGGTTTAGCGTTGTTGCCTAACCCAGAGTCTGTGTGTGTCTAACAAGCCATCACTGACTTGACTTATTGGGGATTTGATGGGTGGATTTCTTCTCTCTTGCCTTCTCTCTCTCTGTCACACCCGCCATTTGGGATCAATTGCCGTGTGAATTTACAAGCTAAGCCCGTCTCCATGGTCCCGGGCGATGACAGATCACCACCCTGCAGACTGAAATTCTTTGGCACATACTTCAGCCTGTCAGAATCGCTCCCGTCTCCCGACCCGTGCTGCAGGAACTCCGGTGCTTCATATCCGGTGGAGTTGCGAAGACGGTTCTCATTCCTCATGACTCGTTGAGCTGGTCTCTGGCTTAGCTGCTCTGCCAAGGTTTGGTGGAGGCATCTCAGCAACTTCCGATAACTTGGTGGATGGTGTGTTGCCCCACTTACCTGGCCTGGTGGTGGGTGGGGTTGCTGCAATGCGCAACTAGCATTGAGGAGACACAATCTTGAGAACCGAGGAATAAATGAAGATGGGGAGATACTTTCCCCTGGGGCATCTGGTTGGTCCTTCCCACCTTCTCCTGCTAACAGTGGTTGAGTTTATATCTCATAGATCTAAGGGTCCTTGAGGATGAAGACTTTCTAGAAAGGACCTTCTAAAAATATGGAAGGAGTTCTCTTAAAGAAAAATCTTTAAAGATCTGGCTTCATCTCACCACCATCCCTGGTTCCACCTGCCTGCGGTTGTCTACCTTGCTTGGCTCTTGACCCAGGGACAGTCGTTTCAGGACCAGGGAGAGCTCCCAGAGAAGAAAAGGACCTTCTTGGCCAAATAGACCTTTAGGATGGACCAAGGTCTGGAGGAAGACTTAGGAGGGTGATCACCAGGCCCAAAATTCTCTCTTGAGTCCTGCAGAGATGGGACTCAACCTTCTAGACTCGGAGGAGCCCACACTGAAGAAAAGTGGTCCATAAAAGAAGGAGAGATGGATTGGGACCAGGGCAGGCTTTCAAAGGATGTTCTTGACAGTTAGAACAATTAACCGGTGGAACTACCTGCCTCCAGAAGTTGTGAATGCTCCAACGTTGGAAGTTTTTAAGAAGAGACTGGACAACCATTTGTCTGGAATGGTATAGGGTTTCCTGCCTGAGCAGGGGGTTGGACTAGAGGACCTCCAAGGTCCCTTCCAACTCCATGATGATGATGATGATGATGTCCTAAATGGATGTGACTTCAAAAAAAAAACCCTTGCTACTAGATATAGCCCTGTTTGGTAACCTCTTTGGATGAAGGACATTAAATTCTTTTTTCCTCTGTTGGCCCAACTTCTGGCGCTACCTTGCATGATGATGACGATGATGATAATGTTGGAAGGGACCTTGGAGGTCATCTAGTCCAACCCCCTGCTTTCTCGGAGGAGAAATTAATCAAAGTGTAGCCAGGTAATTTATCAAGAACTGCCAGGAGCCTTTAGACTTATAAAGTACTAACCCAAGGTACTACTAACTCCTTGATTAGTTTCCATTTGTTGCTTCTTGCTCTGCCTTCAGGTGATTTGGAGAATAGGCAGACCCCCCCCTCTTCTTTGTGGCAGCCCCTCAAATATGGGGAGACTGCTATCATGTCCCCCCTGGTCTTTTTTTTCATTAAACCCAGACATCCCCCATTCCAGCAATCGTTCTTTATATGTTTTAGCCTCCGGTCCCCTGATCATCTTTGTTGCTCTTCTCTGCACCCTTTTCCAAAGGTCAAAAACCGGGACACTGGTGTCTCTCTTGTGCGTGTTCCTCTCAAAAGCAAAGCCACCCAGACCATCTTCCTTCCTAATAAGCTCCATTTAGCTTCACATTCCTGGCTTATCTACTCAACCTTGAATCAACTGTTGTTCTGACCTAGCAACTGTGTGTTGTGGGACCTTCAAAGTCTTGAAACAGGAATGCGACATGCGCGCACACACACACACACACACACACACACACACACACACACACTAAACCCACACTTTTCTTTCTGGTTTGACCCATGAAATGCTTGACAACCACCCATCTGGAATGCAAAGATTTATTTGAAGTTTAGAAAGCTTACAAGAGGATTTGTGACTCTCCAAGTCCGGAGATCTTCCTGGTGGTCTGTTTTCCTGCCCCCCCCCCCAATTTCTCCCGAAATCCCCACCCTTGACACACAGTCCACACCCACAATCCCATCTACTTCTTTTTCCCCACTTTCTCTCTCTTGAGCTCCTTGGCCAGCTCCCCAATCAGCCGCCAGTATTCGCTGAATTTTAGCTCCTTGTCGTTGTTCACGTCCAGAGTTCTCATCTTCTCGTCCAGGTCCCCCACGTTCTTCCAAAAAAAAAAAAAAAAAAAGGCATAGAGGGGGGAATTTTTTTTTTTAAATGAAAAACTTTCCCTTGTTGAGAAAGTGACACTGCGGATACTAGATCCAGAGAGACAAAAACAACAACGGAAAGAATAGGAAAAAAAAAGGGGGGGGGAGGGGGAACATTTAAATAGAATATATTCTGTTGTCCTTGACTTACGAACACAACTGAGCCCAACTCTTCTGTTGCTAAGCGAGACATTTATAATAATAATAAAGTTGGAAGGGACCTCGGAGGTCATCTAGCCCAACCCCCTGCTCAGGCAGGAAACCTTAGAGCATTTCAGACAGATGGCTGCCCAGTCTCTTCTTAAAAATGTCCACTGTTGGAGCATTCACCGCTTCTGGAGGCAAGTTGTGAATAATAATAATAATAATAAAAATAAAGTTGGAAGGGACCTTGGAGGTCATCTAGTCCAACCCCCTGCTCAGGCAGGAAACTCTTAGACCTTTTCAGACAAATGGCTTCCCCATGGACGCTGCTTGTCAGAAGGTGGCCAAACGGGATTGTGTGACCCCCCCCGGGGACCCTGCGACTGTCATAAATACGACCCCCTTTGGCGACCTTCAAACAGTCAGTGGGGATAAAAAAGATTCATTTAGCGACCGGGTGGCTAATTTAACAACTGTGATGATTCGGTCAAGTAGCAAACAGGCGTTTTCACCTGGGGGCGGCTCTCCTAAACCTGGGGGGGGGGTTTGCACCTGGAACATCTGGGGTTTCGCCTCCCACATCTGTTGGGGGGAAGTGGGTGCTTCTCCCCCCACACCCACACCCCCCGTTTCCCGCCCCTGGCCGTGCCCACCTTCATGAGGTTGGGGAGCTGCAGGGCGACCAGCTCTTTAAACTCCCCGGGGGTGAGGGTGGCCTTGTTCCCTTCCTGAGCAGCATAGTCGAAGAAGACCTGGATAATTTTGTGCAGGGCCGTCTCCAGCTCCGTCAGCTCGCTGCTGGCCATGGCGAGGGAGGGTGGTCCGTCTTCTGTCAGGTGGAGGCAGGCTGCCAGAGAAGAGGAAGGGGGGGAAAGGGTGGGGTGGGGTGATGCAGAAGAAAACCCTGGGGGCCTATTTGGTGGAGACAGCTTTGGAAAGGAAGCGGTCCCAGGAGATGCAGGAATTCCTCAGCTTACGACCGACCGCAGTTGGAACGGGCAGGTCTGTCACTAAGTGAGGGGTTTTTATTTGTTTACTTAATCTAAAATCCGCCTTAAATTTCCTTCCTTCCTACCTTCCTTCCTTTCTCTTTCTTTCTTTCATTCGTTTTTATTCCAATCTGTCTATCGACTAATCTTATCTGTCCGTCCTTCCAGCCATCCATCCATCTATCCATCCATCTTCTGATGTATTTAATTTAGTTTCTAACCTATCTACAAATCCAATTTTTATCTATCTACTAATCTGTCTATATTCAGTCTGTCCATTTACTAATCTTTTTTGTCCCTCCCTTCCTTCCTTCCTTCCTTCCTCCCTCCTTCCCTCCCTCCTTCCTTTCTTTCTTCCTTCCCTCCCTCCCTCCCTCTCTCCTTCCTTCCTTTCTTTCTTCCTTCCTTCCTTCCTTCCTTCCCTCCTTTCTTTCTTTCTTTCTTTCTTTCTTTCTTTCTTTCTTTCTTTCTTTCTTTCTTTCTTCCCCTCTCTTTTCTTTCTCTCTCTCTCTCTCTCTCTCTTTCTTTCTTCCCACCATACCTATTTACCGTGCCCATCTGTTTGCTGGCTCTGTCTGTCTGTCTTTCAAACCCCAGGAAAGAGTAACTGATCCTCAATGTTCATTCACAGGCTGGACCATGCCATGCTCACTCTAAGAGCCACTGCTCTCTAAGCAAAGGAAAACTTTGCAAAAAAAAAAAAAAAAAAAGGAGAGGAAAAACTATCCCAGCCTAACTCCTACCCCCCACTGCTTCCCGCAGCCCCACGGCCACTTACCCCAACTTTGGTCCCTTGCAAAGGAGTTGTCCAGGTGGGAAGGTGTGGGTGCCTTTTATACGGCCAGGATCGGCCAGGATGGGGAGGTGGGGAAGGGAAGGGCTGGTCAAGTGGAGTATTTGGTTTCTCTTTCCACTGTCAGTTGCTCACAGCCTGCTCTCTCCTCCCCACTTGGCAAAACTCCGCCAAGCCTTTTCACCCATAAACAGAGTTTTCTTTGGAAACTCTGGATTCCAAACCAGAGTGGCCGGGGCTTAAAAAAAATATATTTCCTCCCCACCCCCACCCCAAAAAAACCCCACCCTGCAGAACAAAATTGGACTTTGTGCAGCCGGGCAAACAGGCGCATAAGGGGGCATTTGTGTGAGATGTTTGCAACCCTGGGACGGAGTGTCCCGTAGACGGGAAAGTGTGTTTCGTTTTTTTCCAAGCAGATTGGAATTCTCTCTGGTTTGGCACAGGGAACCAGGAAGGCAGAGATGAGTCTTGTGTTTCAGCCTGGTGGAGAAACAGGATGTCCCAGCTGGTGGGGTTGGGGCCAGGCAAATTATTCTCAAATTATGGGGGGCCTGATTGAAAGTTTCCCAACTTTTCCTTGAGCAAAATCAAGGACGTTTCCTGACGTTCGAAAGCTGGACCTGATTTAGCCAGGCTTAAATGTGGCTTAGGAAGGGAAGGGAAAAGGAGAAAGGAGAAGGAGGGAGGGAGGGAGGGAGGAAACAAAAAAGAAGGAAATAAAGGGAGCAAAATAAGAAAGGGAAGGGAAGTGGGGAAAGGGGAAATTGAGTAAATGCATGAAAAAAGGAAAGGGAGGGGAAAAAAAAAGAAAGAAAGAAAGAAAGAAAGAAAGAAAGAAAGAAAGAAAGAAAGAAAAAGAAAGAAAGAAAGAAAGTAATTCTGTGTGAGTTGATCTCCCAGAGAAGGGGGATCTGCTTCTGCAATCTTGCCCACCTCATTTCAAAAACAGCTGCCCAATTTCCCCTTTAAGACTTGCGGTTTGAAGCAATGAGTCAGAGAGGCTGCTTTGTAAAAAAAAATAGCATAAATTTCTCTCTTTTTTTTACTTGGCTGAGAAATGAAACATCCCTCCGTTGAGTTGGATGGTTGAGTCATTCCCCCCCACACACACCAGAAAAGCTGCCTGCTGTCTACCTCAGGTTAGTGGCAGGTCCGAGGAGCCTCCAGCCTCAGTTGCAGTCTACCTCTGTATCCGTAATCTGGAATAACTCGGGGCTGTTTGCACCGCAAGGGAGATTTTTGTGAGTTCCCAGTTTATTCCGATGGGGGAATTAAGAGTCTGGTTGGGTTAGAGCTAGTCTGGGGAATTCTGGGCGTTGAAGTCCACCCCTCTTAAAGCCTGCTGGCTGGGGCATTCTGGGAGTCGAAGCCCACCCATTTGCAAACTTTGCCCAGGTCGAGAAAGACTGCGGTTCAGTTTATTCGGCCTGCCGTTCAAGAGATGCCTCCAAGAGAGGAGAGAAGGGCAGGCCTTCTGCACATGCTCAGGGACACTCTTCTCCTCCGGCTTCCTATGGGTAGCAACGCATCAGGGCTTGCAAGAACAGCAATGGCGTGGTTCTGCAAACTGTGGTATCCCTGCCCAGCTGGGCCCGGACCCGTTTTTTTTCAAATGACCTGAAATTGTGGGTGCACGTGAAGTGGCCCCACTAGCCAGGCCTGTTCTGTCTCTGCCCCCCCCATGCAAATATTTCTGCCTAAATCAAGTGCTGATTAATTTTGCCCTCTTTTCCTCCATCCCCCTTTTCTTCCCATCTCTCCCCCCTTTTATGGCTGGTGAAATAGTGGGGTGCCCCCTCCCCAAATGCCCTTTTAAGCCCCCCAGCTGCAATTACAGTGAGGAGGGGGGGTCTCCTCTTTGCCCCTCCACCTCCCCCCCCCGACCCCAGGCCCAAAATAGCACCAAAGCAACATCAGCAAACACTCCGGGAAGGATGTGATGCCGCCTTGACGTCACCCGCCCCACCTCTCCGTGCCCCCCGGCAGCAGGGCGCCCACACCATGGGGAAGCCGACCAGCTGCATTGCCGGCATCCCACGCCGTGCACAGCCCGGGGTTGGTAGAGTGTGGTTTTTGGGGTGGGTGAAGTCGCCCTGCTGGGTGGGTTTCAAGAGGAGGGGTGTGAGCCTGGGGGGGGGCTGTGGAAGATTGCCAGGTGAAGATGGGAGGGTGGGGTTTAATGGCTGGAGGGATGGGGCACCCCTCGTTTGAGGGCGGAGCCTCGCCCCGGCAAGGATTTAGGGTTTAGGGGGCTGGGGCTGGGTGTGTACATTCAAGGGGAGCAGCCTGGATGCCAGATCATGTTTTGGGAGTTAAAGCATGAGGGGGAGGAAGGAGGGAATGAAGGAAGGGAGGAAGGAAGGAAGGAAGAAGGGAGGGAAGGAGATAATAGATAATAGAAACTAGACAGATAGGAAATAAATACAAAATAGGATGAATGGATGGAGATGGATGGATGGATAGATAGATAGATAGATAGATAGATAGATAGATAGATAGATAGATAGTAAATACATAATAATAATAATAGATTAGATAAACAGATAGACGGACAGACAGATAGATGGATGTAATTGATTGATAGTATAAATTAGAAAAGAATATACTAGATAGACAGACAGACAGACAGAGACAGACAGATGGATCTTACCAGATCCTACAAGCTCGTCACCCCCAAACCCTCCTCCTCCTCCCCAATTCTCTCCACCACCACCCCGACCAAAGCCCCTATCCCCCCCCTAAAAAATCCCGTGTTCTGCTCCCAGTGAGCCCAGCCTCCCCATTTGCTCAGCCTTAGAGACCTAAAAGGGAGCCAGGCCAGCTTCTGCCCCACCCAGTTCAGACTGGCGGGACCAACTGGTTTATCCTGGGCTGCAGCCAGCTGCTGTGGGGGAGGGGGGAGAGGGAGCCTCTCAGGGCTTCCAGATGTTGGGGCTTGCAGTCCCCTCCCAGAGGCACCTGGTGCTTGCCCAGGCACGCCCGCTCACCCTTGACACACCTTGGCTGCCCGCCGTTGATTTTCCCAAGCTGACTGCCCGCCAGACACAGGCTGTGTGCAGGGGCAGGTCTGCAGGAGAAAACGCAGCCTGGATGATTGATGAGGCAGTGCGGTGTAGTGCTTAGAGTCAAGTCTATCTAGGAACGCCAGTTGATGGCTGGAGAGCCTCAGCAGGGCGTGTCAGAATAACAGTTGGAAGGGACCTTGGAGGTCTTCTAGTCCAACCCCCTGCTCAAGCAGGAGACTCTACGCCATTTCAGATTGGTGTCTGTCCAATCTCTTCTTAAAAACTTCCAGGGATGAGGAATGAATGAAGGAAAGAAGGAAAGGAAAGAAGGAATAGATAAGGGAAGGAAGGAAAGGAAGGGAGGGAGGGAAGAAGGAAAGAAAAGAAAGGAATAGATAGGGGAAGGAAGGTTAGAATAACAGAATGAAAGCATTGGAAGGGACCTTGGAGGTCATCTAGTCCAACCCCCATGATCAAGCAGGAAACCCTACACCATTTCAGGCAAGTGGCTGCCCAGTCTCTTCTTAAAAACCGCAAGTTAGCCTCTCTGGGGGCTCCTCAAAGGGCATCTGGCTGACCCAGCTCAGCTCTTCCTAGATGTTTCCGCTCCAGCCGTCATCAGCTGCCAAGCGTCCGAATTTTGATCGTGTGACCACAAGGGTGTGAAAAACGCTCACCGGTTTTTCTCGCCCGGTTGTAACCTGGGACGGTCGCTAAACGAATGCTGTAAATCGGGGACCCCTTGTGTTTGCCCCCCTCCCTGCAATGCAAAGAAACAATCCCGTCCCTCGCTTTTATATTTTAGGAAACAAGTTGACCAGCTCCCTGCATGGACGGCAGTACAATTGCGCTTTTGTGTTGTGTCACCCGGCCTCAAGAGGCAAACAAGCCATCACCTGTCTCCGCGGGCCAGCTTGCCAAACCCTCCCGATTGGTCCTCCCGGTGGGGAGGGTCTGGGGAAGGTGCTCCGTGGCTTGGAATTTAGGGCAAAACTCACACCCTGCTGTTCCTTCCATCCCTCCAGCCAGCTGGTCAGCCCACCACCCTTCTGTTCAGTAAGTCCTTCCATTTAAAGGGCAGCGAGAGTGGGGGTCGCCTAGTGGTTAGAGTCTGCAACACTTGGCATGTTTCTATCTGTCTCCCCTCTTCCCCCCCCTCAAAAGCACCTCCCAGATTTTCCAGCTGGGGGTTGCATTTATTATTATATTAGTCAATGCAAACTTTACCAAAGATAATTGTGGGGGGGGGCTGGCGGTGGTGCAGAATCTTTGTTTCTCCTCCCTCCCCAACAGCACCCAAAAATGACATTTTAAAGCGGAATTAAAACTTGGCTTTTAAGTTTAATTCCCCCCCCCCTTTTCCAAGATGGGTGGAATGTGCAAGGACGGGTGGGGGGAAGAGAAGAAGGTCCACCGATTCGGGAAGGGTGCATTCACACAACCGTTGGACCTGCTTGTTGAACTAGCTGGTTTGAGGAGCCAAGGTTAGCATAAGATCCCTTGAGTAAGCAACTCACCCAAAGTTAACTGTTAGCATCCCCCGCTCAGCCGCAGAAAGCGAAGCTTAACTGAGGTTTGAACTAACCGGGGTTAGCTTGCTGGACAGACCCAGAATCTTGGTTTTTCTCATCGAAAGGGGTAAATCTGGGCGAGCAAAAGGAATTCCTGTCCTATGCCTGCAAACTTGATTTTGTGGATATTTTGTTTTTAATCACATTTTCTTCCTGTTCAGCCAGGTTGCACGGTTTTAAATGGTGCTTTGCTTTCTGATTAAGAATAATGAGGATTTTTTTTAAAAGGACACATTAACTGGTTTTAAATGAGAATTTATATATAAAATTATTTTAAATATGCGAGTCCCAAAAAAATGTAAAATAATTCAGCGAATGATTGAAAAAAGGTGGTTTCTGAAAAAGTGAGGAGGATACATGTATGGTATGTGTTGAATTTGTTGAATCGCTTGTGTTTTTTTATTTAAATGATGGTTACAAAAGCCCATTTCGCCATTCCCAAGCACGACTGGAATGCATGATTTATTTATCATATATCAGCTGAGTTTGAAGCTCTCCATCGGCCTACGTGTTATCCCCATAAGCAATTAATACTAATAACAATAATAACAAAGCCCCGTGTCTCCATCGAGCTTACACAAACATGAAAAATATTACAGGACAGCAGAAGAACTTGGCCAACACCCCAAAAAGAGTACGTTACAAAATGCTTCTTCTCTGTGGTTGGTTGATACCAAGTGGAAATCGAAAAAAGAACCGGAGTCTTAGCACTAAAGCACTAAAAATTGTTATTTAAAAAGAGAGAATCAGAGTCTGCAGATTGCAGGTTTCATATGTCATTTTAGACCTCAACTTTTAAATTGGTGATTATTTGGGCTCCGTGAGCCTTAAGCATAAACTGCTGAAACCCCAGTTGCCCATCCAAAAAGAAAAGGAAAAAAGAAAAATTGGAAATTTTTTTTGGGGGGGGGACTGGAAATTTTGGTTAGGAACAACAACAAAAAAAATTAAACCAGTATCAGTAAACTCTGGGAGATGCTTGTTTTTTTGGAACGGAAGGCGGGAGGATAACAAGAATACATCCTGTTTTAAAATGACCCAAACTCAGCACAAAGGAACGTGAATATCCCAGGCAGAAAACAACTGCTGGATTTAAAAAAAATAAAATAAAATCAGATATGAAATTGACAAGGAAACTGGCCATCAATCCCGGTTTTAATTTGGCCAGTTTGGCTGGGCTTGGATTTGAAAGGCTGAAAGGCGCTCGGCTCCTTTTATTTGCAAAAGTTTTGAAACAGTTTTGAAAAACCCTTTGCAATTTCACCAGCTCTGCCCAGCGAGAGTCTTTTCTGATTCGCGGAGGGGGGGTTTCAAACCCCTCAATTCTTGGTCCCAGTCCTTGCCCTGAATTGGGTCCTTTCGGTCCAGTTTCCTCCCTGTTCAAAAGGCCGGCAAACGTGTTGGTGCCACTTGGCCCTGAATGGATCCTTTGTTTGGGCAGAGAGGAAAATGTTGTAAACAGCTTTTGATTGCGCCTCCCTCCCTCCCTCCCTCCCTCCCTCTCTTTGTGTGTGTGTGTGTGTGTGCTGGTGCCTGCCTTGCCCTCCCTTTCTCCAGTTTGGTTCCTACTGAATTGAAGAAAAAAGAAAGAATAAGCTACTTGCGTCCAAGATATTGGAAAACGGGTCTTCCGGAATGAATATGGAATAACAGAGTTGGAAGGGAGCCGTGAGGGCTTCTAGTCTAACCCCCCTGCTCAATTTCATTTCAGACAAATGGCTGTCCAATCTCTTCTTGGAAAACCTCCAGTGATGGAGCACCCACAACTTCTGGAGGCAGGCTGTTCCGCTGGTCAATTCTTCTCATTGTTAGGAATTTTGCCCTTAATTCCAGGTTGCTTCTCTCCTTGGTCAGTTTCCATCCGTTGCTTCTTGTCCAGCCTTCAGGCACTTTGGAGAACAGCTTGACCCCCTCCTCTTCTTTGGGGCAGCCCCTCAAATATGGGAAGGCTGCTATCATGTCCCCCCTAGTCCTTCTTTTCATTAAACCGGACATACCCAACTCCTGCAACTGTTCTTCATATATTTTAACCTCCAGGCCTTTCATCCTCTTAATTGCTCTTCTTTGCACTTCCCCCCCCCCCCAAAGTCTCAACATCTGTTTTGTAAAGTGGGGACCAAAACTGTCCCCCTCCCCTCAAGCCTTCTGGCAAAATTCCCAGGTGAATGCCCCAAAAGGTATATTTTGCAGGCAGGGATTTGGGGTTGATTTTTCTCAGGCCAAATCAATCAAGCCTTTGTGGGTAAGGCTGGGTGGCTACGGGAACATTCCAGATCGAGGTTTGTGGCCGTCCTGGGAAAAAAGAAACGACCGGAGCTGTTCCACAAGAACGAAGTTGCTCAACTCTTTCGGGGACAGGAAATGAAAGAAAGAAAAGAACTGAAAGGCCAGCAGAATTCAGACGGCTGGAATGAGGGCCCGGCCCCAGCGAATAGCTGATTTATCGCTTGCAAAATCAGATTTCCAGGCTGAGGTGGGCAGAGGCGGGCGCCCCCTGGTGGCAGATGTCTGGTGTTGCATGCAGGGTTTTGTACAGGTCGGTTCTCCACTTACGACCCAAAAATCTCGGTTGCTAAGTGGGACATTTGAGCAGTCACTAAACAAACGATTGTAAGTCAAGGACTACCTGTATGATCTTTTTTGGGCGCACGATTACCCTTGCCAACAATAAAAAGGGGGCAGATTTGTAGGGTATTTGCGGAAGATTCTCTGTCTTAAATGTTTTTCGGCCAGTTCACAACCTGCAAAAAGTTAAAGTGGTCATAAGTCGAAGGTGACCTGTTCTTCTGCCAGAGATGTTCTCGCGGTCATTGTCTCCGCCTCCTGAGCTGCACATCTGCTCAAGGCTCCTCCCCTGGGTTGGCTTTCCCTTTTGGCTCCGCCTCCTAGCCGGAGGGTCCTTTCCAGTCTCCAAGCAAACCGATCCGCAGCTCTACTTTATCCGTCCGGGACTCGTTTTCGAGATCCCACCAGGAGTGGACGGAGTGGATCTTGAACTGACCTGAGCTGATTTTTGTCCCTGTTTAACCTGGGACAAAGTCAACAGCCTGATCCATAATTCATTCGGTCTCCTGCATGATTTATGGGTCTGAAATATTCAGACCTTCCTGTCCCATAATGCGAACTCGGATCCTTTGCTCATCCGGGGATTCGGTTTCGCGGCACCTCCGTTCTCGGTTTTCGTTCCACAAAGACCCTTTTCATCCCGGTCATCTGAGCGGCCTCTGGGGACGGTTCCCCATTGTCCGCCTGGAGCTGGCGAGAGACACTTGATCCCTCGTCTCGTCTCTTGTATCGGTTACCCCTTCGCCTCGGGAGGCAGCTGTGACGTCCCGAAAACCTCCCCGGACACACAGGCAGTCCTTGTCGTACGACCGCGATGGAGCCCGGAATTTCTTTTCTCGAGCGAGACATTTGTTAAATGAGTTCCGCCTCGTTCTACGACCTTTCTTGCCGCCGTTAAGGGAATCACCACAGTTGATAAGTCAGACGGTCGTAAAGCGAATCTTCTTCCCCATTGATTTTGCTTGTCAGATGGTCGCAAAAGGGGGAATCCTGTGACCCCCGGGACTCTGCGACCGTCGTAAATAGGAGCCAGTTGCCAAGCGTCGGGATTTTAACCACGTGATCTTGGGGATGCTGGAACGGTCGTTAAGTGTGAAAAATGGTCCGAAGTCACTTTTTTCACTGCCGTTGTAATATCGAACAGTCACTAAATGGACTGCTGTAAATCGAAGTCTGCCTGCATCCGATTCATGGTTGTGGAGCTGATTGAGGACGCCAAGAACGGCAGCTTGGAAAATACGGATCTCGCAGAGAAGGGAGTTGCAGGGAAGTGGATGAGTGCTGTCTTTCTCTCTCTCTATCTTTCTCTCTCTCTCTGTCTCTCTTTCTCCCCCTCCCTCTCTTTCCCTCCAAGATGGTCTTTAGGCAGACAAAATCAGGATATTTGCAATACAGGTAAGCATCCTTCAGCACCCTCTCTCTCTCCCCCCCCGCAGGCGCCAGGATGTCGTCGCAGTTGGAGACGGCCATAGATAGTCTCATCTCCGTCTTCCACAGCTACTCCGGCAAGGAAGGGGATAAGTATAAGCTGAACAAAAAGGAACTGAAGGAATTGCTGCAGAATGAGCTGGGCGGTCTCTTGGAGGTAGGAGAAAAGTGACTTCCACCGTCCTTCCTTTTTTAAGTTTTTTTTTTTTTCCCCTGCCTTTTTTCTTCAGTCGATCAGAAAAGAGAGGGAAGGGACCTCGGAGGTCATCTAGTCCAACCCCCTGCTCAGGCAGGAGACCTTATACCATTTTAGCCAAATGGCTGTCCAGTCTCTTCTTGAAAACCTCCAGTGATGGAGCACCCACAACCTCTGGAGGCAAGCCCTTCCATCCATGGCTGGAACTCACAGCCACCTGGCTTCTAGGCCAGCACCTTAATTGGACACCAAACTAGCTCGCATTTACGTTCTTTTTGGGCTGGCTTTGATTTAGATAGCAGGGCTTTTGCTATTGCTATTGACCATTCTGCAACCGGATGGGGCCGGTCAGAAAAAAAAAAGATTGAACAAGGCCAGTAAACCCGCCCAGCTTTTCCACAAGGGGAGCCTTGAGGTCTGTGTAAAGCCAGCGTGCTTGTTGTCTAGCCTACGATGCACTGCGCAAAGCCAGTCACCGGCTTCCTGCAGGGACTTAGCCAAAGCTCTCGTTGCAGGCCAGGGAATTCTGGGAAATAAAGGCGGGCTCTGCAACGTGCCCATTTCCCAGTTTTTTTCTCAAAGGAAAAAAAATTTACAAGTCAGAATCTGGGGGGGAAATGTCAGGGAGCCGGTGTGAGGGCTGAGGGAGGGCTGGATCCTCTGACTCTGGATTTAAGTGGATCACAAATCCTTCTTTTCCAGACCCAGAGAGACACAGAGGTGGTGGACAAGATCATGCAGGACCTGGATGAGAACAGCGACGGCGAGGTGGATTTCCAGGAGTTTATGGTCCTGATGGCTGCCTTAACCGTGGCCTGCAACCCTTTCTTTTCGGAGGGCACCTAAGCTGCGGTCGTGGGAATGCAAAGCTTGGGAGTTGGGGGGAGGGTCCAGCCCCCCCCAGCGGCTGTTTGCTGCCCCTTTGCAAGGCCTTTTCCCTTCTTGCGGCTTCTCTGCCCAGCTGGGGCGCCAGGGGAGCACCCCCCAAAGTGCCATGTAGCCACCTGCTGAGACAGCGCTGCTTATTAAAGCCGTTTCGTGAACTCTGCACATGTTCTGGTCTGTTCTAGGGCAGGGAGAGCAGGGTGGGGGCCTTGGGGGGGGAGGCAAGCCGGGGCTCTTAAGACAAAGAGGGGAGCCTGAGAGAAGCAGGGAGCTAGACCCAGGCGCCCCAGCGGGAGTCTGGAGGGGGGGCCTTGCGGGCGCATTAACAAAATGGCCCTGGGGGGGTTGGCCAGCTAAAAATGCAAAAGCTGCACTGTTTTCCACACTGAGACAACTAGCCGGGCTCCAAACAGGCTCTTTGGGAATCAATTCAGACGTTTAAAAGAAAAACAAAGCAAAAAAAAAAAACCTCTTAAAAAGTTAAGTTTTCCGGGGGGGGGAGGAAATTCTCCCATTCATAAAAGTGGCGCCCCGCCCACAGCCTCCAAGTACCGCCCCCTCGCAACCCGTGATGAATGGAGCAGGCTGCGGAAGGAGTGTAGCTCCGCCCCTTCGCGGCTAAAAGAAGAGCTATTCGTCTCTATATAAAAATAATGGTCTTGGTCTTTGCGCCTGCGCGCCACGCGGGAGAGGGCGGAGCCTCCTCCTCCCTCCGCCGGCGCATGCGCGAGCGTGAAGAAAGAAAAGCCAGGGCGGCGCCATTTTGCCGGGCTCTTTCTGAGGAGACATTGGAGAGCCGGAGAAGCCGGAGCGGGGAGCGCGTCGTGCTGCTCCGCAAACACGGATAGTGAAGGAAGAACCACCACCGCCACCATCTTGGCGTTCAGGGCATCCGACGGGGCCGGCCGGGCGAGGCCGGAACGGAGCCTCCCGTCGCAGCCGCCGGCAGAGTCGCCAAACAAGCAGGGCGAGCCTCGCCCCCGACGGTGAGGGCCGCGCTGGGTGGGTGGGTGGGTGGGGGAAATTAGAGGGGGCTCGGGGGGGGCCGTTGTCCCATGTGACCGGCTCGAAACGCGGCCTACCGGAAGGGGGTGGGTGGGACTTCCGGTAGAGCGGGGCGGGATGGCTTCCCCCTCCGCACCTGGCTCTTAAAGGCTCTTCTGGGTATTATTGGGATTGCAGCCCTTCCTCTCTCGGGGAAGATGGGAATTGTAGTCCAGCTTTGCTTGGAGGTGGACTATGGGAGGACCCAGCCTGGGACAGGCTTGCTTACTTGAGTGTTTAGCCTTGCGGGATATCCCAGTGTGGGTTTTTGCCCGCGCCCTCTCCCCGAGCAGTTAGTCCCCTCTAGAAGCCTATGTTGGATTCTGCATCAAGAGTTCCTGAAATTTGTCCTACAACAACCCTGCAGGGTAGGCTGGAGGGGAGAGGGGAGGCCCAAAGTGGCCTGAGGCGCTCCTGTGGCTGCTGGCTTCAGAGATGGGGATTTTAGTGGGCAGCTGGTCACTTTCTGGTGGTCCCTAGGAATGAATAATCAAAAATATAAAATAAAAAAATAAAATGGAGCCAGTTTGGGGTGGTAATTAAGACACTAGGCTAGAAAGTAGAAGACCATGACTTCAAATACGCAATCACTGGGAGACGGTGAGTTCTAGTCCCGCCTTAGGCAGGAAAGCATCTAGGTAACTTTGGGCCTGTCCCTCCCTCTCAGCTGGACCTACCTCCCAAGGTGGTGGTTGTCTGGAAAATAGGAGGAAGAAAGTGTCTTGGATATGTCTGCCACCTGGAGTGATTTGAGAAAAAATATTAAAGGCAGGATATAAATAATTGGGATCTTCTAGTAACCTCTTTTTTTTCTGCAGGTTCTGGGCACCCGAGATGGCCGCGCAGTCAGCGCCGAAAGTCGTGCTTAAGAGCACCAGCAAGATGTCTCTTAACGAGCGGTGAGGAACACAACGGCCACCTTCAGCTCATAAGATCTTTTTTCTTTTTTTACGTTCTTTTTTTTTTTTAGTTTTGTCACTCTGTTTGGCATCCAGAGCAAGAGAGGCCTTTGCGATGCTTGTTCTCTATCCAGAGGCAGCCGAGAGTGGCGGGCAGCTCCCCGCTGCCCTTCGATCCCGCGGCCCGCCGTGGTACACCAGGTTGAAAGGGCAAACGTGTCAGTCTAACTGGCAAACGGTCGTGTGGTGGGATTGTGTCCTGAGGAAACTCCGCGCCCTCCTTTTTTTCTTCCACATGTGTTCATATGATAAGAGATGAGCCTGCAGCGCGGTAGCATGTCACCGCAGCTGTGGGAGGCTACCTGCCGTGCCCGAGGCAGACGCGCCACCCCGCGTGGTCTGTGCTGTAAGAGGCAGGCAGCTGGCCGCTTGAACCAGCCCAAAGGCTCCTTGGAGGCCTTGTAAGAGGCAAGTGCTTGGCTCCATCACCTGCTTCCTCTCTTCTGCATGCCTTCCTCCTCCTCCTCCGTGTCTCTGTGAGTTCAAATGTCCGACTGTCGACCTGAAGCTTCTGCTGTGTTCCCCTTCTGTCTTAAACTGTATTCCTAGGTTCATCGCCCCAAATCTCCAGCAGGACAGAATTGTGACCCAGCAGTTTCACAGCATTCTTTCTTCCCCTGGAAAAGATCATTATTACAGCCAGTCCTCGGCTCGCAACAGTTGCCGTTTGACACTGACAGAAAGTGATTTATGACCCTTTTCCACACTTAACGACTATTGCAGGTGATCAAAATTTAGACACTTGGCAACCGACTCGTCTTTGTGATGGTCACAGTATCACGGGATCCTCTTTGCCTTTTGCAAAGGCACTGGGGAAGCCAGGTTCACTTAACAGCTGTCTTCCTCACTTAACAACTGCAGTGTTTCACGTAATAACGGGCAAGAAAGGGGCAAAACTCACTTAACTGTCTCGCTTAGCAACAGAAATGGGCTCCGTTGTGATAAGCTGAGGACTGCCTGTAGTCTTTTTTTTTTCTGGATGTAATCAGTAAGTTGATTTCCCCAAAAACCGTCAGATCCAGTTGGCAAAGCTCAGGGATCTGTCTCATGTCGGCCGAGACCTTGTTAGCCCTCTGCTCCTGTTTCTACCATATCCTGAACCAGACTGGGGAAAATAAATATTCAGTAAGTCTTGTGGGCCCTTCTGATTTATGTTACTTTTTGAAATCCGATCAGATCGCTGCTCCCAGAGGTGATGTTGAAGGTACACGAAATGCTTCTTGTACAGTGATAATCCGATGCACGTTTCATGATGTTTTTTTAACTCTGCTGCATAGACCAGCTTGAGCAGGAAAAGGAGAGGGAGCTGAGTTGATGGTTTTATGCCAGTTTTAGGCCCCGCGGATGGTGGCGTTGAGGGGGCTGCAGGGTCCTCCATTCTTTGATTTTGATCTCTCTCTGTCCCAAGTCTAGAGAGTTGCAGCTTTGGGAGTGACCTAGCGCTTCCACTCTCCAAATCTTTTCCTTCCCTGTCTGCTTGGGACCCTCCACCTCCCCATCTCTTCTCTGCCATTTCTGCTTCGCTCTGTCCGTTTCCCACCTTCGCCTGATTTTATTCGGACGCCCGTCTCTGGGTTTCATCCACACCTTTTTGAATGTTGTGTGTCTTTCCCCCCCCTCCCCCGGCACGCTTTGTGGAAAAAACAAAAAAGAGTTCCCATTACGCTTTAAACGGGATCTTGAGTGTGTAACCACCTTATTACGTTTATAAAAAAAAATAATCGTGGGATGCAGCTGCCCCCCCTTGCTCTGAGAGGGCTGTGGAATGCCGGTTAAAAATGGGTTTATAATTGAAAGGTTTGTTTTAAACACACCCGTTTTGTTCGACCTTGAAGCTTTACTAATATGCTGAAGAACAAACAGCCGATCCCGGTGAATATTCGTGCTACTATGCAGCAGCAGCAATTAGCCAGTGCCCGAAACCGGAGGCTGGCCCAGCAGATGGAAAACAGGCCTTCCGTCCAGGCTGCCTTGAAACTCAAGCAGGTGAGGCCGGGAGAGGAGAACCAGGTGGGGACTCTTCAGCGGCTGGATGGGTGGGGAAGGACTGGGGGGGGGCAGGCTAAGTTGATTGGATCCTGCAGGGCTACGTTCGGGCTCTCTCCTTGCAAAAATAATTGGGTGAATTGGCCAAAAAATAAAATAAAAAAACCCTGCAATTTTTATTCTGTGGAATTGTCGGGTTGCAAAATCAGGGCGAGAAAGCCGGAGAGCGATTTAGTTTATGAATGAAAGCAGCCGCTGTTCTAAGCTGTGCTTTTAGTTGCTGGAGTTTTTGCAACCAAAAGAGTCCAGCAAGAGAGGTGGAATCCTATCCCGTCCCCAAACAAGCTGGATTTTGTTTCCTTTGCATTTTAGATGGTTAAGTGGCATCTCCCCTGCTTGGTGATAATTGTTAAAAAAAAAAAAGGGTGGAGGGGAAATAGTGTTTTTATCACTCTGGGCTCTTCTGTAATGTGGCAGTGACAAATTGTATTACTTTTGTGCTTTTCCGCCCTGCAAGCAAAGAGGCATTGGGGAGGTTAATGTTTGGGGGGGGGGGCTTTTTTTTTTTCCTATGAAGCCGAGTCAAGCCATTCCTGATTCTTCTAGCTGAGGTCTTTTTTCCTCTCTTCTGTCTTTTTGGGGATGGGATGCTTTGTCCCAAAGGTGCTTTTTTTCTCTCTCCTCTTCTTCCTTCCTTCCTTCCTCCTCCTCCTCCTCCTCCTTCTTCTTCTCCCCCTCCTCCTCCTTCCTTTCTTCCTTCTTAAGACATTATTTTTCCCTTTGAAAGCCTTTTGCTTCTCATCCAACAAGCGGCTTCATTTCTAACTGACCGATGGGGAATGGAAGGATTTACGGCAGAGGTCTTCCAACTTGGCCCTTTTATGACTTGTAGACTTCAACTCCCAGAAGTCCACGAGTCATTAAAGGGCCAAGTTTGAAGACCCCTGATTTATGGATTCAAAAGGGGGGAACCTACCTCCAGTTGCCTTTTTTTTGGGGGGGAATGCCTTTTGGGACAACCGGGACCTGGATGATTGACAGTCATCTGAAGCTCAACCCAGAAATTTCCGCCTGCAAAGCTCATACCTGAACCAGGGGGGGCTTGCCAGTCTCCTCTTTTGCTTGCCCTCAAACTGAATTAAGAGTCTTGTCGTTTGGCCCCTGAACTCAGATTTCCAGAGCTGACTTCTTCCTGCGACTAAAGTCAGCCGTGTGAGATTCTCTCCTCCTCCCCCCCCACCCCAGTGATGCTGCTAATATGCAAATTTCTGCCTTATAGGTTACATAAGGTAGCTCACACCTCGGTGTGCCATTGCACGTTCTGCTTTTGTCCCCGCTGCCTTTCCCCTTCTTCTAACTCTCCCTTCTTCCAGAAGAGCTTGAAGCAACGTCTGGGGAAAAGTAACATCCAGGCACGCTTAGGCCGGCCGGCGGGACCCCTGACTCGGGGGTTAGGAGGACGGGGGCTGCCGATGGGGCACAGAGGCTTGCCCCGGGGCGCCATGCGTGGGGGCCGTGGCGCACGGGGATTTCTGCGCGGAGGGATCTCCCTGCGAGGTGAGTACCCTTGGGGGGGGTTCTCCAAAAAAGTGGCCTCTTCATGCCCTTTGACAGCAAGACTTGAAAGTTGTGGTTTTTCTGGGCTTGTAACGCGTTGCCGTCTTAGTAGCTTAGGAGTTACAGGTTGTTACGGGTCGTAAGTCCTTGGCTTACGACCCCAATCGGGACGCGAATCTCCATTATCGAACAATGAGTCGTGCCTAATTCTGCAGCCTTTTTTGTTGTTGTTGAAATTTGTGAAGGGAATCACGAGTCTGGCTGCTCCCATCGGCTTTGCTTGTCGGAAGCCGGCTGGGACGGTCGCCGGTGGCGATCACGTGATCCCACGACGCGGCCACTGTCGTAAATCCCTGCCAGGGCCCGATGGGGTGACCGAGGGGACATGGCAGCAGTCGCAAGCGCGAAGGCTGCTCACGGGTCGCTTTTGCCAACGCCTTTATGACTTCAAGCGGTCGTAAGTGGAGGACTCCCGCCCATTAACAAACCTAGGGGTGTGGCAGGAGGGAAGGCCCAGTTTTTTGAATTAGCCAGGAAGCTTTTTTAGCATCTAAACAGGGCCCAGCTTGTCATATCTTTTTTTTTGGAGGGGGGGGGAACAGAGAGAAGCTTAGAGGTGGGGAAATTCTGTCATTTTCTGTTGTTTTTTTCAGGGGAATTGGGGGGTGGGTTGAGATTCTTTGGGGGGGGTTGCCCCGGAGAAGGTGGAAACTCTTACCTAGGGAGGCTTTTGGGGGGGGGGCATGGGGTTTGAATTTACTGGCAGGGCCGTAAATCTCAGACCCTCTGCGTGGACCCTTCCCCTCTCCCTCTTACAGGACAGAGCTTGCTCCGGGGGGGACGGGGCATGGCCCCCCGGATGGGGCTGAGGAGAGGAGGCATGAGGGGCCGAGCGGGGCCTGGCAGGGGCGGCCTCGGCCGAGGAGCCATGGGACGGGGCGGCCTCGGCGGCAGAGGTGAGTGAAATGAACCCCGGGGATGTCGGGGGGCTGTCTGCAAACCTGGCCACTTTTTAAGACTGGCGGACTTCAACTCCCAGAATTTCCCCAGCTGAGGGATTCTGGGAGTTGAAGTCCAGGAGTCTTCAAGTCAGGCCAGCTGGGGAATTCTGGGAGTTGAGCGATAATAAAGATAATATCCCGAGTTTATACTCTTAAATAGCTGGGGGGGGGGTGGTTGGGTTGGGCCTCCCATGCTCTCCCTCCCTCGCGGCCTTCTAACCGTCTCTTCTCCCTTCCAAGGACGCGGCATGGCCGGCCGGGCCAGGGGCGGCTTCGGGGGCCGCGGGAGAGGCCGGGGCCGGGGTAGAGGTGCCCCTCGCCCAGCGCTGACCAAGGAGCAGTTGGACAACCAGCTGGACGCTTACATGTCAAAGACGAAAGGACACCTGGACGCCGAGCTGGACGCTTACATGGCTCAGACAGACCCGGAAACCAATGACTGAGACTGGGAAAGGGGGGAGGCTTGGGGGGGCACGGGGGAGTGTAGAATGGTCCTCCCCTCCTGGCAGCCCAGAATTGCCACCAGGGAGGACCTCCGAGGCAGAAATGTAGAAAACCCAGGAACCCGCCCCCCAATCCCTTTCGAACGTTTCCTCTTTGATGTTTTGACGCTCCTGGTTGTGTGGACGTGTCAGGGGAGCGAAGACCCCTTTCTAAAGGCCTCTAAACATTGGGGGGGGGGCTGAGCAGCTCCTGTTGGTCCCCCCCCTTTTTATTAGCCAAGCAGCCTTGTCTCGCCCTCCCGGGGACCCCCATCTTCGCCCCGCAGTGGAGGAACAACGCATGTCTCCCCCTCCCCAAACACCCCTCCCAAAGGCCAGCTTTGAGGGAGGGGCTCGGCCGAATCAGAGACCCTCCCACACTTTCCTGCCCAACATGACTTTGTGGCTGGGAGCTCAAGGCGTCGGGATCCTTCCCTCCCCCAGGAGAAAATGAATTAAAATCCAGCCCCAAATTTAATTTTCTAAGCCCAACAGCCCCAGAAGAAGCCGAGAGGGTTTTTTTATTATTATTGTTATTATTTGTGCGTTTTTAACGGCGGCTTCTCATTGATATGTTCTTGGGTGGGGCGTTGCGGGCGTTTGTGAGTTGCCAAGGAGATGGTTGCTCTTCCTCTCCTCCACCCTCCCACCCTCAGGATCTGCAGTTTTGTGAACTCTCTGTTCTGAACGGCATCTTGTAACATCCCGGTTTTTCTGTAAGAAACAATTGCAGGGAAATGAAAACTTGGACTGTGTGTTGTGTGTCGTCGTTGTTCTTTTTTTCCCAAGGAAAGATGCCAGTCGGGAGTCCAAATGATGAATCCAGCGGTGGGGGTGGGTGGGTGGGTGGGTGGGTGGGGAATCTGCAAAGAATTGAATTGTGCTGGTACCTTCAGCCCCATTGCTGGCCACCGTCTGCCAAGATCCCAATTTTTCTTTAAGTTTCCTATAGAGTTTTCATTTCTCAACTTCAATAGGCAGCTAAATAAACAGTCTATAATTAAAAAAAAACTAGCTCTCTAATTTTCCTTGTCACAAAGTTTGGATGCTCCGTTTTCTGGGGTGTCCCTTTTCTCAAATCATGCTCAAAGTTTGATTGATTTGCACTTCTGGGGTGTGTGGAAAGGCTGAGAGACTGGGCCGGGGGGGGGGGGGGAACCAACTAAGGGATGTCCTTTGTGCCCAGCTTGTTGGCTTTGCGCATCTTCCATATTAAAATTTGAAAATAGAACACAAATATTCTTTTTGTTGATTCAGCCAGGCTAAGCCCAAATCAGGGTTTGTGTGCTACACTAGCCAGGTAGTCATTTTGTGCAAAATCAACTAACCAAGATGTGGGGAACTAGCCCTCGTTGGGTTAGTTCCACCCCTTTGGATTCTTTCTGCTGGGGCAGATTTTGTGTTTCATTGGCTGCTTATCGTAACACCAGGCTTACAATCAAAAGATAAATATATATCATTAGAGAGAGAGAGATCTGTTAATAGATTTATTCCAGTTTGGTCTCTGGAAAATTAATACTTTGTTGGCTTTGGGTTAAAAGCTTCCTGGCTTACTGGAAGTAGGAGGAATGGAATACAAGATTGGCTTTGCTTTATTTATAAACAAATGGTGTATACATACATGAATAGAATAGAATAATAACTTTATTAATAGTCACTTTAATCAGCATATATTAAAATGAGATTTCGGTGCATGCAGCTCTCAAAAGGGAACTCCAATATACCATATAGAAACATTATAAAATCTAGGAAGGCTTCCAATTAAAGCTGTACGGGGGAGACCCAACTCAACGCAGCTCCTCCGACCTTGCGAAGGGAGAAAAAACGGGGCGTTGCAAGCGACTTTCCCCCCTAAATTTTATATTACATTAGGTCCGAAGGCCATCAAACTTCGGGAGGACTCGGTTTCCCAGCGTGCCTCTGGCCAGGCGCCGCCCTGGGCAGCTCCGGCGCAGGCGCTCAACGGCCCGGCTAGTTTCCAGGTAAGGCTGTGCGCAGGCGCGGATTATCCCAGCAGGCTCTGCTGCGGCAGCAATGGCGGCGGCGGCGGCGGCGGGTCTTTCCAGCCCGGCGGTACCGGCAGCCCGGGACCTCTTCGCCGAGGGGCTGCTGGAGTTCCTGCGGCCGGCCGTGCGGCAGCTGGACACGCATGTCCACGCCGTCAGGTAGGCAGGCAGGCGGGTGTCCGTCCGGCTCAGAGCCCGCCGAGTAGGGGGTGTAATCCGTCAGGTGCAGCTTCCTTTCAGTTAGGCTGTGTGCGTGTGTGTGTGTCTCAAACAGGTAGGCAGACAGGTGGGTGTCCGCCTGGTGCAATTGCCCTTAGTTGAAGGCGAGGCTGGGCTTCTGCGTTCAGAGCCAGATAGGTGGGATGTAATCCATCAGGTGCAGCTTCCTTTCAATTAGGTTCTGGGGGGGGGGTGCTCAGAGACAAGTAGGCAGACAGGTGGGTGAGTATCCGTCTGGTGCTGCCGCCCTGATTCGAAGGCGAGGGAAGGCTTCTGCGTTCAGAGCCAGGCAGGTGGGGTGTAATCCATCAGGTGCAGCAGCTTCTTCCTAGACACACCGTCAGATAGGCAGGGGAGGGGGGGGGACCGGTGGCTCAGAGACAGGTAGGCAGACAGGTGGCTGTCCGTGCGGTGCAGCTGCCCTGATTCGAAGCTGGGCTTCTGCATTCAGAGCTAAGCAGGTGGGATATAATCCACCAGGTGCAGCTTCCTTTTCCTGGACATGCACGTCCATGCCATCAATTAGGGATGGTGTGTGTGTATTGCAGAGACAGACAGGTGGGTGTCCGTCCGGTGCAGCTGCCCTGATTTGAAGGAGAGGCCATGCTTCTGCCTTCGGAGACAGGCAGGTGGGTGCAGCTTCCTTTAGGCCTCATTGTAGATTCAATCCGCTTAAAAGACCCCCAGACCTAATTCAGGCTGTCTTTCTCTCTTCGGCAGGGAGAGCCAGGTGGAGCTGCGGGAGCACATTGACAGCCTGGCTGCAGGTAAGTCCGAACATTAGTGGTGGAGCCCACTTTGCCCCCCCCCCAAGCCCCCCACCAGTTTTTCCCTCCTTCCCTCCCAGAGCTCTGCCGGATCAATGAGGACCAGAAAGTTGCCCTCGACTTGGATCCCTATGTGAAGAAGCTGCTCAACGCCCGGCGCAGGGTCGTTCTGGTGAACAACATCCTGCAGAACGCCCAGGTGCCTTCAATGGGGCTGGATTGCGGGCAGGGGATGATGGGGATTGGAATCTGGCACAGCCCAAAGGGTATCTAGAGACACAGTGGGGAGGGCAGTTTCTGTAGTTCTTTGTGGATATTTTTTGCAGCTACCAAAATGGAGTAAGAAAGTTGAGCTTTAGTTTTTTCCTTGTAAAGGACTAGCAACTTAGCTTGAGGGATTTGAAACATTGTCAAAAGCCAGGCAGCTTCTTAATTAAAGTGCTCTGCTAACCGTGTTCCCCGCAGGAACGCCTGAGAAGGCTCAACCACAGCGTGGGCAAGGAGACCGCCCGGAGGAAGGCCCTCCTGGATGCGAGTAGCAACTACCCCCATAGCTCTCCCAGCAAGTGAGGAGGGGGGCCGGAAGGGCTGGAAAAAAAACCCCAAGCTTGTAGCTGTTTTTACAAGACACCACAAACTCCGGAATAAATCTTGGAAAGGGACAAAAAATAATGGGCTTTTGGGGTACTGCAGAGGAAAGGATTTTGCTGGGCTCGTTTTGCAACTCAAAGCAGAGAGGAAGAATGGAAGTAATTTTGTGTCGTGGGGTGTTAAAATTATACTCCTGCAGAGTGGAAGGATGGCTCCCTTAACGGGTGTGGGATAATAACAATAACATAAAAAGTTGGACCGTGATTTTTTTTCCTTCTGGAGGGGGGAAAAATAAAGTTTCAACGAAAATGAACTCTTGTTCGTCTTGCAGGCTGATTTTGGGGGGGAAAAGGCGAAGGAAAAATGCCCAGGAAGAGCATAGCTGAGTGCCTTTTACACCAAGGGGCAGTTAAGAGCATCCTCTGGAAACATCCCCGTGGGTTAAACCCTAAATTTGCGGCTGCTTTGGGGGATGAATTCGTTGAAAAAGCATGGGAGGCAACACAATTTCTCACAAAAATGAGACTGCTTGAGGCTCAGGAGAGTTTGCTGGTTGATTTGAAAAATTCAGAAAAATAACCAAAGTCGTGGGAAGTTTAGCATGGAAGGTAATTTTTCCCTCCTCTTCCTGTAGTGAAAAGGACTGTTAAAAAGGACTTAGAAGGGGATTCCTGGTGAGGAAATATGTATATATATATATTTTTTGTTAATGATAACGTGAAGGCCTCTTGGATTTGACAGCAATGAAGAATTACAAAGCTCTTGTACAAAACACCACCTTTTTATAAGGAACACCTCATTTTAATGGTAAAAGTTATAAAAACGAAGACATTTAAGAACTGGATAGAGAAGGGCGGCTTTTTCGGATTCTGTGTCTGGCTCATCCAATCGCATTTCAGACGTGGAGAATTCCTCTGAAAGACAAACAGGATTGAGTTTGAGTCTTCTGGAAGACAGAAACGTGATTTTAAAATTTCCCCATGGGGGGGGGCTCCTGTTTTGGGACAATCGCCACGTTACAGTTAAGGCTGCAAATATTTCACAAAGAAAGATCCCTTTCTGAGATCCTGGCTTGGGACTGTGAGCTTTTGGTGGTTCCTGATTTTGGCAACGTCTGGAAGACCGAGAACAGATGTTCGGAAGACCTTAACCCGATTGATCCTACCTGAGCCCTTTGGGAAGACCCCCCCCCCCTTCCGCCTCCAGAGAGAAAATGGCGCAACAACAGGATTCAAAACATACCCGAGGGCCCGGATCATTCCTGTGTTTCCATGTTCTCCTCTTCCTCCCCAGCGGGCGGCTCTTCCTGATTCTCTTCCTCCTCCTCCCCTTCCTTCTTTTCCGGCGGCTTCTCGTAAGCCTTCTCCGACGGGGTCACGATCACCCCTTCCCAGGTGGACATTTCCGTCGCGAGGTCTGCAAACCAAGGAACTTCAGTGGTCCAGGAAGATGGGCGAGGGGATGCCAGCCACCCCTTGGTGCCCATTTCTCTGGGTTTCTTACGGACGCGGCTTGGCGGCCTTGCCTTCCCTCCCTCCCTCCCTCTGCCAGGTCTCTCCAAATACTTCCATACTTACAGTTGGCGTCTCCCTCCTGCCCCAGGATCTTGCGGTAGCCCCCGTGAGAGAGAATGCGGACGAGGGTTTGAGCCGTGTAGCAAACCATGTCCTAAGAGGAAAAAAGATGGAGGCTGCCCTGAGTTAGGGGGCTTCAGACCTGGGAAGAATTAAACCCCACTTTTCACAGCCTCATTGCTCTTCCTCTTAAATTTAACCAACTGTACAGAGAAGCTAAGCCAGGCTTATAAACAAATGAGACACGACTTTACAATTTGCAACTATAATCATAGCGCCAGGCTGTATTTAATGGGACATCCAGGCATATGTCTAACCACTCTTGGCCAAATAATCGAAGCGCAAAGAGTTTCTAACCAAAGCTGCAAATGATACAGAAAAAAAAGCCTAAATTTAAATTTATTTAACTATAATCATGCAGAGAGGCAGAGGGATTTAATTGGGGCATCTGGCAGGCCAGACAAGCGACTCGGCTGCAGTCAAAGCAAACTGGGAAAAGCTCTGATCGATCTTGAGGGTGACCCAATTTAAGGCAGGACGCTACCTGCTGCTCCAGGGTCATAACGGTGTGGACTCGGAAATTCCCGCTCTCACACGGGTCAGTGATGCCGACCGAGCCGGGAAGGAACAGTCCCGCAGCCAAGATCTGAAGGCAGCGCCTGGGAAGAGGGAAAAAAAAAAAAGCATAAAGATAAAAATTTCTCCATGGCTGTTCTTGATCGGGAATTTGAGTTGCTAATGTTTTCATCCCAAAAAGCGAGTCCAAAGCTTGGAGTGTGGTGTGTGTGTTCCCCAGTTCTGGGAACCTGAAGCACTCAATGGGGCTTTAAGGATGACCAGAAGCAAGGAAACTTTTTCACCCTTAAAATAAAATTAAAAAACCCCTCTCAACTCTTGGGAACGTGGTTTTCAACTGTACCTGTAAGCTACGTTGAGAGCCAACGGCTGCCGAGTCGGGTTGTTCATCACTGCGTAATGTCCCTAGAATCACAGAGAAAAAATTCAGCAAGAGGAGACTTTGATTTTCACTTCCCTCTGCCTGGGAGCTCAAATCTATCAAGTGTGAACTTGGAAATAGGAATATTTTGGTGATCAAAGGGATTCGCATCCTCACGGTCCACGTTTTGCCTGATGGGATGGTGGCCAATTCTATTTAAGGATAAAACCAGGATTGGGGAAAATGACAAAATGGCTGGCGTTCTTCTCAACGAGTTTAAATCCAGGAGTGGCTCACTGGGTAAAGGCCTAAAATTAAATTATTTGGGCTGCCTTTTTGGATCCCAAGAATTCTGCTTCCCTAAACGACTTGGCCATCAGATCTCAAGGGAGACGGAAATTGAAATTTGGGCTCTATATGGCGCGAAAGAGGCGAGGGAAGGCTTATGTGTGGAATCCAAGTGCCAAGAATGCAACTGGCGAATCTAAATTTTGGAATTTAGTTTCTTTTAAACTTCCCCACTGGTTCTGAAACCTACGAGTAAGTCCAGGATCCACGGCGTGAGAGGCTCGAAGCCCGGAAAACGCATCCTGAGATCCTTTAAGAGGCGGATCAAAACTTTCACCCTGAAAGGAGAAAAGGGCAGTTGTGGTTCTCTCTGATGCAAAACTTTTGGGCCAGGAAGCAGAGGAGTTGGTTATCTCCACCTCAGCAAACACCTTCAAGTAATGCACAAGGACCACACCAGTTTGCGATGGTGCCCAAACCCGTGCTTAAATATTTGACTGGGAAAACTGCCACGCTGAGAAACAGCTGGCTTCTAGACAAAATTAAAGCAACAGTATTACAGCCTTTTTCGAAATAACTTGACTTAAGACAAGGCAGCCAAAAACTAGGCTAAACAGAAACCAAAAATGGCAGGCAAAATGCAAAATCTTGCTCCTCTTTTGCAGGGACAGAAAGCAGCTCCCAGATCCCCCCCCCAAAAAAAATTCCAAAAAAAATAAACTTACGTGGACTGCGAGGCGTTTTCTTCAAACCAGCGGGCGTGTCTGATGGCGGCCAGGGCGCTCTGCAGCACTTTAATATCCACTGGGGGGAGAAATATTTTATGATTCACTTTGCTTCTTCGCTTTTACCCAGAGTTTTAAAAGTCCCCCAAAGCAGGCTGGAAACAGAGGCTTTCCCACGCTTGCCGACCTTGTACGCAATCTCTTTTTTTCTGTCCTCAACCCTGATCCTAACCCGCTCCCACCTTTTCCCAAGGGAGGAAGCGGCCCGCTACACTTACGGTGCAGCTCAGGGTCCAGCTTGCGAAGATTGGGGGGCACGGTGGTGATGAGGATTTTCACCGTGGCGTCCGCCGAGCTGATTTCGAAGCCCGTCTCATTGGTAAGCATGGTCAGCACTGAAGAGGTGAAAAAAAGAGGAAGGGAGAGGAAGTTCATTCACGAGATTATGGATCCTCTTATTTGAGACCTCTCCCAGCTGGGCGGTCCGTAACTCTGCGGGAGCCGTCGCTTACCTTCCGCGGGGTCCTGGGTCCGTAGAGACTCCACCACCTTGTTCCCCAAAGCAGCAACGGCTTCTACTGCAGGAGAAGGCAGAAGTTAGTTTAGGAGGTTGTGGCTTCGCGCCAACTCCACCTTCCTCCCTTCCCTGCCGGCCAACACCTACACGTGGGCAAGATTTTGAGGATCACAACCAGATCCGCCACATTGTGACCGGTCATCATGGTGCCTTTCTTGTATGAGCCCACCTGGCGGACTTCTTCGATTTGCTGGGAAGGAGGGAGAAAGAAAAAAAAAAAAAGATGGGAAAAATGGGATTTCGGGAAGGCAGCAAGGTCATTTGGGGGCTTAGTTGGTAAGCTCACAAGTGTCTGTGTTAGTTGCTTGTCTGAAAGAAAAAAGGCTGGTGAATACACCCTGTCAGTCAAGGGCCAAAGATAAGAAAGCCGAAATTCACATAGGAACCAGATTATTATCCACTCTGGGTTTGCAGCAAAGCACAACTGGTGCAGTTTCCACATTGTGCTAAGCGGCAAAGAAAGGTCGCAATGAATCAAACAGGGTTTCCTGCCTGAGCAGGGGGTTAGACTAGAAGACCTCCACGGTCCCTGCCAATCTGTTTTCTGTTATTCTGTTTAAACGTGGCCATGGTTTAAACGTAACCTGGAACACAAAGCAAGAAGCCCCATAAAAATGTAACTATTCTTAATCTTTGAATGCTGGCTTGGTAAACACACCCATTCTCCACGGTCCTACTCACCACTTCAAACGTTCCTGGTGCCACAATCAAGTTGTCGATCACATTGTTGATCTTAGTGACCAGTGAAAGAATGGAGGCCTAATTTGAAGAGGAAGGGGGGGAGAGCATTTAAAAGGCTTAATTCTCCACCTCTCAGCATGTTTAAAATAGGGAAATTAGACTTGTACTCAGATGTTGAGCTCCTGCCGCCGACTTTAACCCACATATTTTTATTTTGCCCTGGGAGGAACTTGAGGGCCCACCTGTTCAGCGGAGGTTGGAGCAAGATCCTGGTTTCTCTTCAACAGGGCTTCGCTGAAGGAGGTTTCGTCCGGAGCCGGCTTCACCCGAGGGAAAGCCATCTCGCACTGAAGGCAGAAAAATCCCATTAGGGAAGGTGATTTTTTTGGCCCCCCCTGCCCACATCTGCCTTTTACAGCCAACGGTTCAGTTTGGTTTTTTAAAGTTCTCTAAAGTCTGCTACGAGACGTATTTGGGGAGGCAGCCAGACCCACTCACCACGTAGAAGTCGAAAGGGATGTGAGGCACAAA